GTCTCACGTAGTCGGAAAGTTTGCAGAAGTAGAGTGAAGAGCGGCGGACTGGCTTTGACAAGCTTGGCCTTGGTCTGATTGTTGACAGTCGCGCGCAAAAGCTCAAGCTGCTCAAGTGAAGCATCGAAGCCTTGAGAAGCGGCATGTGGCCACGTTGACTTGATAGCAGCGAACACTTCCTGAGCACCGAGATGCTCAGCTACACTCTGGAAGAAACTGCTGCGGCTTTCGTCGCAGGACTGTTCCAGATCGGCAGCGGCAGAGCGTTGGCATAGTCGAAGAGCGGTGTCCAAGTAGTCGCGCGAGAACATGTAGCCCAAGCGCTCGACAATGTTCGAAAGCACGGTAAACACAGCGTTGTGAAGACCAGTCTTTTCCTCTTCGATCGCATCCGATAGATATTGGAATGCTGTTGGCAACACGGTAGGGAGGAGCGAGATGGCCTCATCTTCGAGAACGTCAACGACAGATGTGAGGCAGAGGAGGGAGAGGATGCGAAGGCGATCATCGCTGCTTGAAAGCGATTGGGGACCAGACACAACTTGAGCTACTGATACAACAGCAGATACGTCCTTCTTCCCGAAGCGGTCGACGATGCGATCGATGCAGCTGACAGAGACCATCTTGGCATCCATGTCAGGTGATTGTTCCAGTAGATCCTGAACGCTAGGCAAGAAAGAGATCAGGGCCTCTACAGATTTGCGGTCATTCTGCTTGGCGGTGCCCGCGCGCAGCTCGACCGACTTGACGGCAGCTACCTGGACGTGAGAGTCTGTGCTCGCAAGAAGTAGCTGTGCTGATTTGATAAGGTCGGTCGTTGGCAGGAGGTCTAGGCAGCTGGCGAGAACACGACTACATCCGGTGTAGGTCTTGGGGTTTGTTGCAAGCTTCTTTGACAGTTGAATAGTAGTCTCGACGATGTTTGCAAAGATCTTGCGTGGTCGTTCAGGGTCATCCTTCTTTCTGTACGCTCTAGTAACGTGTGCCTTCACCTTATCGTCAAGCGCGAGATCTGTCAAACACGACAGCATACTCTGAATTGACAGGTCGAATTTGTTGTCTTTGGTCTTTTCCTTGAGGCTGAAAAGTGTTTCCGCGACCTGGGGTTTCGGTCCCACAGCATCAGTGAGGAGATCGACATATCCCTTGAAGGTGACGAGGGTGTGGACAGGTTCGAAGTGAAGTAGCAAGTCCGCACAGAACCTTCGTTGCTCCTTGCTGTGGTAGCGATCGGCAAGAAGTGCCACGATAGCCGGGAGCGAATCTTCGGGGCCTAGCGTACGAGCAAGCTCTGTGAATAGCTTCATCCTTCTGTGTAGGGGAATGTGTTCAAAGGCGGCAGTGAAACTGAGCAGCAAGTCGGACACGCCAGCGATGAAGTCTCTGTGTTTTGAGCGGAGAGAGGCAGCCAATTGAGGCACGACCCGAGAAATGGTCTTATCAACGACCTGAGCGGAATAGTCGTCATGCTGGCGAAGCAGAGTAGATCCGATGAAGGTGAAGATGGGCATGAGATTATGAAGAATAAGATCAGGAACCCATGAGGCAAGATTGGAAATGAGAAGCAGCGCGCTGTTTTGAACCTGTGGGCTGCTGGAGTGTCGAATGCAGTCGATGAGTAGGTCCGCTCGTACTGCCGATTGGTAGTCGGCGGTGTCAGCCTGCTCCTTCAATGTGTTTACGATCGGGCTTAGTGATCCCAGAATAATACTCTGAAGATACACTAGCTCAGACCCAGACTGTTGCTTGAGTGGCTGCAGTTCTGCAAAGATGCCGAAAAGGTTCTTGAACAGTGTCGGGTGCTGTCCAGGGTTTGACCCTTCAACCAACTCAAGTACCAACGTGAGCTTTCGGAGTAGTCGCTGAACATCGTCTTGAGATGAAAGCTCGACTCGAGCCATCTCACTCTTGCTTGTCCTTCGCCTTTTCGCTGAAGGCGGTCCTTCGGGCATGGAGGTGGGAGATGGAATGCTTTCCAAGAAGGTAACCAGGATGGCGGAGTCAAGGTCAACCTTGCGCAGAATCTCAACCGATCGCTCTCTACGAAGCTTGTCGAAAGAGTTGTCGCTTTCACTGGTAGATAGGCTGAGCATGCACTGAGCCAACGCGTGACGAGCTTCAGATCTGAAGGATGACCATGAGGTTTGAATACGATCAAAGGCGGCCATCACTAAAGCTTCACGCTCCGTGTTGAAGGTTCCAGAGATGATGTCCTCGAGCAGTTTCGCGCTCATCGCCTCCCTAGGCATAGTTGCGGCAATGTGAGCCCGCTCCACTTCATCGAGCGAGAGCCTTTCGCTGTCGCAGATGGTGTTCATGGAAGCTGTCGGTAAGGTTGCCCATTCGGTCAACAAGGGGATCACGGAGTTGGTACGAACGGAGTCGGAGACCTTTCCGCGGATGTTTAGCATCGGCAATAGGCCGATGCGGACACTCAATACCGGTGTAAACCTCGCGTGGCTGGCGAAAAACGCAAGGATCGAAGTCCTTGTCTGCATCTTGAACGTATTCTTCGGATGATTCTTAAGTTGTGTCCCTTCCAGGACATCGCGAAGAGCGGGAATGGCGAACTTTGAGTCCATAACGCATTCTTCGAGGATCGGCTGTAGCATCAAGGAAACAAACACGAGGAAATCTTCAGGCTTGAGTTCTGCGAGATGCTTCGACTCTTTCCCATACAGCTCGGACTTGCCCCAAGCTGGTGTTTTCGACTTGGCGGAAGCCTTTCGTGCCAGAGACCCAACGCATGCAGCCGCTGAACGTCGGATAATTGGCGATGCATCTGAAAGTGCGTGTACGAGGTATGGCAGGATGTTCTGCAAGACATGTGCAGCCTCGAGCTTTTCGAACGATGATGCGGCTGCACGGAGGGCGGCAACGCGAATGGCGACAGGCCGGGCGCTACTCCAGACGCGAGCGAGAAATGAAAGGTATAGTGGCTGCTTGAGAGCGGATTCTTGGTGTAATGCGTCCGAGGCGAGGAATCGCCGTGTTTGCTTAGTCGTCACAGCCTGCTCGAAAACGTTGGCCGCTTCTGAGAACTCGGTCGCTGATTCGGCGTCAAGGAAGCTCTTTACAATAAGCTCTGGGAGTTGTATGACAGGCTTCTCGGCTGTGTCCTCATCCGCGTCAAGCATCTCCTCGTCAGAGTCCTCGCCCGGAATATCTTCAATTTCGAAGGTTTGGCCAACGGTAAGTCCCAGAGACTCCAGATTGACATTGTGCTGCTTCGCCGTTTCTTGTAACGTTGCTTGTAGGTCTTTCGATTCAGCCATCCTAGTAGCGATTTGAAGTATTTCTCCATGCTCTTCGGAGCCCTGTGGACTGTCGCGGAGCAGTTGGACCAATGCCGATAGCACCATCTGAATGTGCGATGTGCCGAGGAGGCCTGAGGCGATTAGCTCACGGAAAACCCTGCAGTTCTCGTCGGAAGTATCGCTGAGGGCGCCAAGAGCACAGCCTAGAACAAGTCGTTGAACCTGGCATTGTTTTGACACTGTGGTCAGCTTCTGCACAAGCCGAGGAACCTTGAGTAATCTCCTCGATACTTTGGCTGGAACCTGCGCTTTGGAGCGCTCCATGGCGATGATGGCCAGACAGCCGAGGCATGATTGAAGGGAAGCTTCGTCGTATGCTACGATGACAGCCTCCATCAGCCCATCCAGAAGCTTGTCGCCGACCTTTGCCTGGCTCACCATCATGATGACAATGGCGTAGCAAGCCAGAACCGTGTCAGCGCCGTGCTTGGCTCGCATGCAAGTATTGAGAACCGGGAGCAGTTCCAGGACTAGCTTTTCAGTTCCCTGAGCCTGGAGATCCTTCCTGCCAGTGCTTGCATTGCTCACTATTCCGTATATAGCTTCAACGGTGATTCCCGACCAGAAGGACAGCATGTGCGAGGCCTGGTGTCCCGCCTCTACCACCTTCGCGACGTATGATTGGTATGCCTTGAAGAATTGTGGGGTGTTGATGGCGGTGTAGGCGATGGTTCGCTGCGGTACGTTGGTCGGGGCCTGGATGTACGGGAAGAGGAATCGTATGGCGTGCGGTGGTTGTGGGGGTAGGATAGAGAGCAGCGCAAGGAACTGTGGTGTGTTGTGGTAGGGCAGGTAAGTAAAGACGAGAGTCTCGGTGTTGTACTCGTGGATGCGGAATCTTCGCACCAGCCACTCGAGAGCCTTCTCTGCCGGCTTCAACAGCAGTCTTGGTCCGACCAGCGTGATGAACGCCTCGAGCACCGTGTTCAGCTTGGCGTTCTCATCCTTGGTCATCTGGGTGCGGTCCTCGGCCTTGCTCTGCTCGCTGAAGAGATTCTTGGAGAAGCGCAGGAACCGTGAGTCCAATGCGCAAAGGTCCTTGTAGCCATCGTAGCAGATGAGGTAGACGGTCTCGAAAGATTGCGACGCGGCGACTTTGGAATCGAAGAGTAGCGATTTGCCATGCGCCGACTTCTGCGCGCGCAGGTCTAGCTGATGGGTGCTCGAAGCCGCGATGGTCGCGAGCTGTTTCTGGAGCGCCGTCGCCATCTTCGGATGTTTTCGTTATTACGACAGGCTTTAGGGTATGATTCGGGTAATGCGATGAGCCATGAGACGCAGCGGGACAGCGTAGAGTTTGTCGTGGCGGATTGGTTGAAAGCTCCAAGCCGGCGATGCGCATACAAAATTTCGGGAAGCCAAGATTTCACGCTAATGGTTTTTACGGCGGGCCGCTCGAGCCAGACACGCCGCCGGACTCCCGAGCACGTGCCATGCACCTTTCATCTCTCCGAACGTCTTACCTCTGGTCTTCCATCCTTTTTGTCTTCACAGTAGAAGACATACACCTGCCAGTCCTGTTTCTGTGAAGAACATGTCTGACTCCTCAATGCGCAATCCGTCTCTTGACTCATGACTACGCGCGTCGCATAGATTCCTGTACTCACAGCAGCGACCACAACTATGATGCTGGTCTGAAGCTCCATCCACAAATAGAGGATTGCTGGAGTTGCACCTTGCGCAATGGCGTCGAACATCCCCAAGTTTGCGAGCTTCCGGCCAAAGCCCAAGGCCGCCCCAGAGTCACCCAAGGAACCCCAACACCATGAGAAAGCCGAACGATCGTCGAAAGAAAAACGTTCTACCAAGGGAACATCACCATCGCCAAAGCGAGTTATTCACGAGCATGATTCAAGCAAAGACAGGCCCTACTTCAGCGACCGACGCGGAGACCCTGACGTACTGCGGTATGGATCAATGAACCGTTACGACATCCCACCATATCGTCGCTTCGGTCATGGCTTCATACTCGGACTTTCTGTAAACCAAAAGATCGATAGAGAGTACTCAACGGATCGGAAAATACTCGTGATGCCAGCGACACGAAGACGGCAAGAGCGACTGCTGACGAGCAAGCGTGCGAACAAGTCGGGTGAGCGCGCTTTACGGCTGCTGAAGACCGAGGCCCCCGATGTGGACCACGCTCAGGACTTTCTGTCATTGTCTGCAAATACCAAGAGGAAGCGCGATGACAGTGAAGATGAAGCTGCCGAGATGGAGCCTGAGACAGACTACCGTGGCATCGAAGGGCCAAAGTCGACAGAGCCTATGGATCCAGACACGCAATATGAGTCGGACCCTGATGTCATAATCGACACTGAAGTCACTCGCAAGAACTCGCAGCTCGCACGGCAGACAAAACAGCATCCTGGAGATCTCCAAAGCTGGCTGGAACTGATCAAACACCAAGAGGCTATGCTAAAGCTCGAAAGGCCATCTGCTGAGCTGACTGCATCTGATAGAGCACATCTTGCTGATGTACGTATCTCCACATATGAAGAGGCTTTGAAAAAGATTGGCGCGGATCAAGACAGCAAGCTGGAGCTGTACAAAGGGCTGCTGGAAGAAGCAGAAAGGGCCTGGGACAGCGCAAGACTGGCCAGCAAATGGAAGGACGTGCTTGCGAAGCATCCTCAGAGTGTGGAGCTGTGGATGAAGTATCTTGACTTTGTGCAGTCACGATTCACAAGTTTCAAGTTTGAGGAGTGTCGGGCGACCTTCTTCAAATGCATCGACTCTCTTCGTACAAATAAAAGCGAGATGTCGCCGGAACAGACCTTGCACATATTGCTGCGTTTGACATCCATGACACACGAGGCAGGATACCAGGAACTCGCTCTCGCGGTGTGGCAAGCTGTACTGGAACATCATTTGCTACGACCGGAAGTAAATACAGACCTCCAGGCTTTCGAGCAGTTCTGGGAAACCGAAGTGTCTCGCATCGGCGAGTTCGGAGCCAAGGGGTGGAAGCATAGCAACCTAGATGATGCGCCACCCCCAGGTCCTTCATCACTGCTCAAGAAAGACGCACTGGATGCGGTCTTTAAAGATTTTCGAAAGCGCGAAGTGGAGGCTACGTCGGTGTTACGACTCCCTGGTCGCACGTCGGACGACGTAGCAGAGGATGATGCATTTCACACAATCTTCTTCTCTGACGTCGAGCCATACCTGACCATCATATCGCCCGAGATACCGGCAACGCTGATGATTGAGGCTTTCTTGTGTTTCTGCGGCTTGCCAAATTTACCACATCGCATACCACAACAACGTACTTGGTCGTCCGATCCATTCTTGCAGCGCCACTTGCACTCTGCTTCTCCGGACACCGACGAGTCTACAGAACTTACAAAAGCCATCAAAAGCTTCTCGAATTACTCAGCAAAGCACTTCCGGATGACCACGGAGCTCCTATTTGAGCAAAGCTTCTCGCTAGATGCTATCAGGCTCGACGCAGACTTCGTCAGGCGCTTGTTCAAGCTTCTAGCCTCAGATCCTTCGAGCGATGATATCATAGGAGAGTATCTGCTAGCTTTCGAATCGAGACACTTCCCATCTGAAGCTTTCAAGTCCGCAAAGCGATTACTCAAAGCACGTCCGTCAAGCCTGCGCTTATACAACGCCTATGGGTTAGTCGAATCGCGCCTAGGTAACTCAGCCAAAGCAGATCAAGTCTTCAGCATGGCGCTATCTATGCAAAAGGGGGTTAGCGTGCTATCGGCATCTTGGAGTTTGGAACTCTTCAGCAATTGGGTGTGGGAAGCGCTCCGGAGAGGCGAACACAGCGAAGCTCTATGGCGGCTTGTCTCACCAAATGGAAACTTCTCAGCCGGCGCAGCCAAAGACTCGCATCCTGGTAACACTCTCCTAGAGATGGGACATCTAACCCTCAGCCAGAAAAGCGAACACGCCCTCCTCCACCACGACTACACAACAGCAATAACAAGCACCTCTCTCCTCGCCCTCCTAGCCTACCTCACCCACAACAACTCCGCCTCACACGCCCTCGAACTCCACGCCAATCTCACCTCGTGGTTCGCATCGCACCACCTTTCCACCTCCGCCGTCGCAGAACTCCATGCCCAATCCATCGCCCATCTACTCACCCACCACACCACACACGCCCCCATCGTCAAACCATCTCTCATCCGCTCCACTCTCGAACCGCTCATATCCCGCTTCCCAACCAACACGATTCTCCTCGCTCTCTATGCCGCAAATGAAGCCCGCTTCTCCATCGACGATCGCGTGCGTGGTATCATGCACCAGAACGCTTTGCAAAGCCCCGAAGAAAGGAGTATAGCAGGCTGGGCATTCGCAATACACCACGAAACGCTCAAGGGAGAAATTGCAGGCTCGACGACGCATTCCATTCGTGCATTGTACAAGCGCGCAACGGAGTCTACCACTGGATCTCGGTGTCCCGCCCTGTGGAAAGCTTATGTGAAATTTGAACTACGCTGTTTACGTGACGACCAATCGAGACAACGAGCGGATAAAAGACCGCGTAGGGATGGCAAGAAGAGTAGATGGGAGGTACGCGTTGAGGAGGCGGAGCAACGGGTCAAGGATACGTTTTACGCTGGGTTGAGGAATCTGCCTTGGTGTAAGGAATACATCATGCTTGCTTTTACGGAAGCGAGGGATGTGTTTGGGGAGGAGGATAAGGGGAGGTTGTATAGGGTTATGTTGGAGAAGGAATTGAGGCTTTATGTTGAGTTGGATGACGGGGATATGTAGATGGAATGACCGGTGCAGAGAAGCTTTTTTGAAGAAGATGTATAACCATGTACATTAATCGCCTGTATCTATCCTACTAGCAAGCCTCATAAACAAGATTGAACGGAAGTCTAGAAGATATCTTCCGCGCCGGCATCCTGCCATGTCGTCTCTCCCTTGGCGACACGGTCTCGCACCTTCCAGTACTCATGGTTGAACACCCAGTACTCCTCGCCAGTAGTCTCACACCTGCCCTTGTGGAACCACCTGGGTACAAACTCTTTGCCTTCAGCCTCTCGCTGTCTGCGGGTCGCTCTCTGCTTCTCTTCGACCCTGTTCTTTTCCACGGCCGCAAAGTCGTACTCGCCGTCCTCCATAGCGCGCTGGTCGGGACGGAGACGCGTGTCCGTTGGTGCGACGACCGGGCGAAGCTTGTCGGGAATATCGTTGAGAGTTACCACGAAGGGGGTAAGGTTGAAGGGAATGCCCGTTGGACGCTCGTGAGCTTGCCAGACCAGGAAAGCCTTGTTGTCGTCGTGCTTTGAACTCTTCCCACTCTTCTCAACGTCTGCATCTTCAAAGCCCGGCGTAAAGCGCGCGTAGATCTTGTCGTTCCATCGTCCACCGATACTCCAGCGGACCCGGTTCTCTTTATCGAAAACCTTACCAACCACTTGGTAAGCTGACGAAGCCTTCCAACCACGAGGCTTGAACTCGATCAGACATTTCTCACCCGTCGTCCAGTTGGTGATTTCCATAGTACCGTAGTTGTCGACAACGGGGTTACCAGTTATGATGCCGATTACCGAGGAGGTGACTTTCTTCCAGGTGTAGAGCTCCTCTTTCCCGCCGTTGACGGTAGGGCGAAGACGAAGGAACCAAGTTCCGAGAGGGTTAATGTCGAAAGACTTTCCATAAAACTTCGACTTCACAGCAGATTCACCCTGGAAAATGTTAGAAACGGTGAAGAGAACATACTTCCAGTACTTACGTAGTAGTCCCACTTCTTGGATTCCGCATAGGCGGCACCAATCGGTGGGTGATGGCTGACCTGCTCGATGAAGAAACGGTAACCTTTGTCTGGTCGGGCATACTCGTAGGTCTCGGCGAGAAGTGGATTGAAAGGTTTAGCGACGCGTCCAATGGTCGAAGCATACTCTGATGCGGCAAAGGCAGCCACGTAAAGTAGTCGCTCGGTAGAGTCATCGCGTTCGGCAGCGGTGTCAAGAAGATCCGTGTACTCCATGTCTTCAGCGACACGTTGAAGCAGTGAAGTGGGTTCGTTGAAAGAGACAGGGAGTGTCATCTTGGTCATGTCTTTACCAATCATGGACTTGAGGATACCCTGAACGATGTTAGCATCTGCAAAACTAGTTGCGCCATCGAACTTACCCATAGCGATATCTTAGGCCTGTCGTCGGCATCCATTGCGAGCCTCTTCCGCGGACCGTCTTCGTAGCCTGCCCATGCTGTGGCAATCTCCATGTGCTTCCTCTCGAACGGGTCGTCTGAAGAGGCCGGAATGTCTACTTGCGTAGGCTCCTTGGGTGCAGCTGCAGGCATTTCAACAACCTCGACCTCTCCAGCACCAACAGCATCGAAGAACTCCTCATCGTCTTCCGAATCGGAGTCTGAGATATCGGCAGCAATGTCTGCAAATGTAGCCTTTCTCCTGACCTTTTGGCTCTTAGCAGGAAGTCCCACATGTGATGTCATATCTTTCTGTTGCTGGGCATCTTCTGGCGCGTCGGCGAAGTCGTCCTCGTCGTCCTTGGCATCCGGCTTGGGGCCAGTCGTCTCGTAATCTTCCAAGGCTTCCCGCAGAGCTTTCTTCTGCTTCCGTCGCTTTTCCTCAGACTCGCCTATCCGATTCTCGAGCTCTTCCTGCTCTTTTGCCACCTTGGCCATGCTCTCCTCCCACATGCGCCTCACATTGGCCTCGCGATCTAGGCGGTACTGCCAATAGGCATCGCGATCTCTGGATATGCGAAGCAGATCGCCGATTAGCCCCTTCAGATTCCCGATAGCGGATTCGTACGAAGCAAATGCTTGTAGCATCATTGGGTCGGAAATCTTCAGGTCGGGTGTTCGGCTCCTCTCTGTCTGGAGTGCCGACGACACGGATGTCAGGAGATCGAGTTGTAGCTTAGCCGATTGCGCTGTGATGTTGAATGCGTCTTTGCTTTGGGGCTTCATCTCATGGCTACTCGTATCGTCGCCGTAGTCGTCTTCGTCTTCGTCGTCGCCAGCGATGGTAGCGGTACCCATGTGGCTGACCATTCTATCCAGACCTTGGCCGTTCATGCTAGGCTCGTAGACACTTCCAGGGTCCTCTGTTACGCTGACCGCAGTTCGTGAGGATGCGTTGTCCAGACTTGGGTGAGGGACGCCGAGAGTGGATGCTGGACGTGTTAGTGTGTCATACATGGTCAGAAGTTGGTGACACTTACCAGCAGTCAAGTTTCGCGAACTTGGTGCTACCTTGGAGCTACCGATACTGGACGTGTCGCCTTCGCCCTTGATCTGCTCAATCTTGGCTTGCTTCAGCATCTCCTGGTCCTGGTTCGCCCGCTTCTCCTCTTCGCGGGCCTCGTCTTTGGCCCACTGGATTGAGTTGTTCAGAGCCCAGTACCATCGCTTAGCCTCAACCTGGTGGTTTGCCTTGAGATGGTACTTGACCGACGACTTGCCCTGGATTTCAAATCGCTGCTTATCTTGAGGATCCATGTACAATTTCGCTATGCGCATGTTGATGGCACCGCGGCATGCAGACCCAATATCGTCCTGGTGCTTGTAGTAGCTGAGAACGCCGTCCTCAAGCACGAACCACCGCAACTTGTATCCGGTTGTGTAGTTGGTCCATTTCTTGAGGTAGCCCTTCATCTCACGCGATTCTCTTGCGCCCATTCCGCTCTCTGTCGCGGTTTGGCCCGGGGGCCCACCTGCGAGTATGGTCTTCTCTTGGATGCCCCTCTGGGCTGCGGCTGCGGCGGGTGATCGCTTCAGAATGGCACGCGTGCGGTCGTCTTTGGTATAGTCCTGAGGGAGCTTGCCTTTGCGGTCACGACGGAACGGGTCAGCTCCATTGAGCAGCAAGAGCTGGGCCAGCTTGATGTCCTTCTTCTTGGCTGCCTCGTGCAGCAGGGTACCGCCCGCATCCATTACGACCGGGTCAGTTGCCAGCTCTCCGCCGTTAACGTCCAGCGTGCTCCTTATCCTAGCATCCTGGAGTATCTTCTCCAGGGAGTCCATATCGCCAGCGGAAACCATGTGCTGTATCTTTTTTACGTTGGTGTCAATGAAGATGGAGCGCGAGAGCTGTAGCTGTTGGAAGATGTCCGGCGTGCGAGCGAGATCCAAAGGCGTCTGGCCGTTGTAGTTGGTGACGGAGTCGTTGATACCGGGCTGGTCGAGCAGCATTCGCACGACGGGCGCGCGGCCCAGCGTAGCCGCGAGGTGGAGCGGGGTGTTGCCATCGCGGTCGCGGCCATTGATGTCGATGGGCGAGTCTGGTGTGGCCGTCGCGTTGGATAGCACGAACTCGATGACGGGCACCTCGGCGCACTGTATGGCCAGGTGCAAGATGGAGGTTCCTTCCGTGCGCGCGCTGGGCAGTTGCAGCGACGACCTGCCCTCTTCGCCGTCTGTTGGCCCTGCCTGGTCCCTGATGGCTCTCGATATGGCTGCGGTGTCGCCATTACGGAGCGACTCGAATACTCGGAACAGCTTCACCGACTGCTCTATCGAAGTTGACTTGCCCGTGGGCGAGCTGGGCGCTTGCTGGACGCTGGGCGAGACGGGGCTCAGGCTGTCCTGCCCGGCGCCTGTATTCGACATGCTGGTCGAGAGGTGTGGGTTGTGCTTCTTGGACAGACTGCGACTGTGTCCCGATGTTGTTGGTCTAGCTTGCGCGGGCTGCGAGCTGGCCGAGACGGCTGTGCTGGGCGGAGAAGTGTCGCTGCTGTCTGTGGTCGCGGCAGCTCCGTCGGGCTTGGAAGTGACACGCGACAGGAGGTTCTTGACGCTCGACGACTTGGAGCGCTTGTGCCTGCAATACGCTGTCAGACGTGCTTCTGGGCTATCACCGTCCTCCTCCACATGTCCCCCGCCATGACGCCAGCGGGCTTGGAGCACCTACCCTTCCATGCTTGTGTGATTGGCCGACGGGCCAAGGATATGCGGGCCTGTAGGCGGCAGGCAGAGGGAGGAGGGGTTCGGTTGGAGGCGTGTCAGCACCGAGTCCTGTATTCTATAGATTGTGTGCAGCTGTTGCGACTTTGTAGGATTTCACCACTGACGCGGCGGGGCTTCGTGACGGTTTTGGGGGCTTTCGTCAGGGGCGCACCATCCAGGCCGCTGCTTCAGCGAATCACGACTATTGCTCCGCTAGGCTGGGCTACCGAGCGATTATCCCAACATCCTGCTCGGGCATATGTCATGGCGGACTCGCCTAGTGAATGCGTGCATTGGGCGAACTCCAGCTTGGTGAGGCTAAGCTTTGGCTCTGCCTAGATACAGCACTACGTCCTGACACGTGCATTGGAAATGTTCATATTGTACATTGTCTACATAGCGTCTTCACATGCTTAAGCTGAGTCGCCGCCCACGAGGATGATGGCACTACCAAGCTGCCTCCGTAGGTCTTCCTTCTGGACATCGTGCGTGTCCTCTACCTCACCCCACTGCTTCGTCTGCCACGTAACCTCCAGACTCGACGCCTCGGTGGCTTCCTTGATGCCGAAGCGCGGCGCATCAGTCACCTTTCGCGATTGCGCAAATGCTTCGCCCCATTCGTGGATCAACCGCACGCTGACTAGCAGGCTCTTGGACGCCAGCACCGCGCGTTCCAGTCCAGCGAGTTCGTAGGCTGGGAGACCTGCACACCAACCCCGGATCACTTGCTTTGTCATCTCTGGCTGCTCGGTGGGGATGATGGTCTCAGGGTCGAGCGTGGGCTTGATCTCTACACCAGGCCACACGTGTGTCTGGAGGTAGGCGATGATGCCTGTAGCGACTTCCTC